AGGCATTGCAATAGGGGTCCACTCAGTTGAAACATATCGATTTGCTTCAGGAACCAGGAAAAACCTACTTTTCAGAAGAGGATTTACCCATGTAGGGAACCAGGATATTAGTCAGTGGGTTCAATGATCCCTATACAGGTTGAACGTCCGAAACCACCTCCGTTTCCTTGATACGAGGCGGCAATCAGTCGTCAATTTCCATGTCCGTTCATTCTGGTGAAGACACCATAAAAAGCATGTGTCAAAAGAGCTTACAATCAGTTTGATAAATTATTGGCATGAAAGATCATGGAAGCAATATAATGATGATGCAAATTACCATCAAGAGAGACTTTTGCAAGCCTGGATACTCAACTTTGGGTGCTTTGCGAGTGCGTATCACAAACGATTGGAGTGTCATACGTGCAACATGGAGTGTCATGGAAGATGGCCGGATCCTTTTCCATGTTTGGAACCCTGGCTTGGTCGATTTGACCTCATGTTTCTTGGAGTTGATCATACAAACACACGACAAACACGAGGTTTACAGGTTTGGACCTGGGTCAGATTGGATCTGTAGGAGGTAGATCTTAGATCGTGTTTGACACTTTTTGTAGATGCCAGGAGGGTCCAGTTGTGCCGAACCTGAGCTTCGGTACGACTGGATCCATCGACAATTAGAATACGGAAAACCCCCGAGTTGGAGCCCCTGAAAGGTTCGGAAAATAGACCACTACCTTGAGTCTCAAAGTACCTCGGAAAATGGGTACAGTCGTACCTGTTTCTATGGGGTCATGTCCCATGTTCTAAGGTACTTTGGAGGGTCCAGGTATAGGTGAAAGGTTCCCTAGGGCATTTGAACATGCTCTTGGAGTTGGTGTCAGACCAGGTTCTGACGAGTCTTCTATCAAACGTTCAAAGGCAACCTCTCTTTCTATTGGATTTGCTTCTTCGGAAGCCGGGGAAACCAAAATAGTATAATGTCTTCAGAAGGGGCTTCACCCATAAGGAGATAATGAACATCCTAAGTCAAACCCACGATTTCTTCCACTGTCATTCTATCCGCTTCTGCAGCCATCGACGTCTCAGGAAAAAAATGAAAAAAGAACTTCCAGCACCTTCAGTTCGGGGTCACCTGGCAGGTGGTCCAGCCCCAGCCCACACTCCGGGACCGTCACACCCCACCGGTCCCCACTCTCCGCCACGGACAGGTGACGGGTGGGTGACCTCCTGGACGGTGGAGCGCCCCGCACCGCCCTGGACCGCCCCGGTTGCGTCGAGACACTGTTCCAAAAGATCCAGGATCTGTGCCGCCCGCGCAGTCCCCGGCTCCCCTGGTCGAGATCGATCGTCGTGTCGTCGTGGGTCCGGCTGAACGTCCGGTACACGGGATCGTGATCGGCGCGGTGCCAGATGCCAGATGCCGCAGGAAGCGGGGTCACCATTGGAGGTGGGTGGGTGTTGAGTCCCATCTAGGGGATTGAGGGGCTGTGGATGTGACAGGGGTACTAACAGACACTTCCATGCCTATTCCACACCCAAAGGCCCAGTCCTGTGCGTGGTACTCTCACGAGAAACAAAACCAAACCCGGTGACCACAAGTCCTGCAGCTGTAGTCCCAGCCGGAACGGGGAGAAATACCCCTCCTCTGTACAATTGAAACTACGAAGCAATGTGTAGTTAAAACTTCATCCTACGTGCTATGTCTAAAAGGATCCGTACATAACAAACCATCCATGTATGGAACACATTTTCAAATATACGTGAAACCTGACCGTTGACCCGACCCCCATTGATGACATTTTACGACCGTAATGCAACTATATATTCCATGCAGTGGAGTCACCTGTACCATACCATGACCCACACCTGAGACCACCGGTGGCGCGAATCTACCTGAGACCACGGTGACAAATCCTGAAAAATCTGGTCAACAAGAGCTGAAAGCCTGGAGAAGAGGAGAAACCTGCTGGCTCCAGAGGACACCAACCCCAAATAGCTCCAGATACCCTCTGAGAAGGTACTTGGGGTGGGTTTGGAGAGTCCACATAGGGCAACTGAAAAAGCCACATACCCTCTGTGTGATTGGAGACACCTTGGCACCAGAGCCAATCGTACCGAACGGTTACCGAACCTGAGAAGGTGGGAGTGGAATGTCTAGGGCTGAGGTATAGTGGATTGAGAGTAGATGGCAAAGACCCGAAGAGGTGGTTTATATGGACCCCTATCTAAAGGACACCATGGGGTCTGTGCCATCTACTCTGAAACCACTGTAAATGGAATTTGGTGGCCAACCAACAAAGCCACCCACACCAACCCAACCCCACATGAAAAACCGCGTTTCTCAACCACCAAGCGTCACTTGTAGCCTTAGCTTGAACAAGCGTCCAGTTCTCCAGCCCTGGCCCAAAAAGCAAGAGTGACCCACTGGTTCCTTGACCCACTGGCTTCTCCTCCCCTCATCCTCATCACCGTCTTCTCGTCTGGAGACGCCCCCGAGACGTCTCCGCCCGAGCCGCGGCCTAGGGAGGAGCTTCCCCGGCTCATCGGGTTCATGACCTGAACGGCGCTTCCGTTCGGAGCCCGCGGATCAGAACCTGCGGCATGGGAAGAGCTTCCCCAAAGCTCAGACTCTCTTGGCTTCCCTGGATCCCTGGTACCTCCTCAAGGTTCTCTGGATCCACCCAAAGGATCAAGCCTGATCCACCCTCTGAGGTCACGGTGAGGACGGAGATACATGGATGTAGGCTTTGAGGGTCCAAATGCCGTTTGAGAAGGTATTTGGATCCCTAGGGCCAGGGTATGGCTGACCTCTAGAGGTGTCGAACATGTCATCCTCTCAGCTCAGCCAGCTTCTTTAGGCCGGTGACCTCTTTTCTTTCCTGGGAAATCAAGTTCGGTGACGAACTCATAGCCGGACGGACATCTTCCACCTACATTGACCCCTCCAAAAGAGGTGATTCGGGGTGTCCCAAAAGCACCGGACTTGGAAGCTCCTGGTATGGAGTGTCTGGGTAAACATTTCCTCTTCCGCCTGCCATGAGCCGAGGTGCGCTTGCCACGGCTCCGGCCCCGCGCGGGCCCCGCGCAACGTGGAGCAACGTGGAGCTGCGTGGAGCTGTTCCGGAAAATGTCCGCGAGGTAACGGATCTGGGTCTATGTGGTTCCGTCTGATGTTCCATTGACTTGTGTATATATCATATCATATAATATATAGTATATGATGCTTTCTATTGCTTTCTTCATCTTTCTTCACTGCAGCTTGAGTATAGCCGACCTGTTACGCACAGTTCGCACGATGAGCCAGCGTGTTGCTCGGCAAGGAAGCGCATTGAATCCACCCAATTCTGGGTTTTCGGGAAGCGCTCTGCAAGGAGCCTTTGAACGTCCAAACTCAGTGGCTAGAAGTGAAGGCAACATTCCTCTGACGGTAAAGTGTATATGACTGGAGTCAAAAAACAGTGGAAACAGTCGATCTTGGCGGAAAAATACCACTGATCTGTCATGATCTGTCTGAGCCCCAAAAATGGTCCTCTTGGCATGGCTCCGTCCGGCCATCGTCCTTTGCCGTCCTGGGGGAAGGGCACCTCACCGATCATGACTGGGGACCGGGGAGGTTCCGGGCGGATCTAAAAGACCTCATGAACTACTGGAGTTTTTCTTAATCACTAAGCATCCTTTGCTGATCAGAAGGTTCTTGGATGTCCATCGTGCTCCCTTCATGTGCGACACCAATCGATGTCCTCGTCGAAATCCGTTCAACCGTCTGAAACGTACTCAGCCGCTTCGATCACAAAATCCGAACAAAGTTCATGGGTTCATGTTGCCCTGTCGGACTCAGACTTCGTACCTCCTGAGGTTCGGTCTGACTGGACCGTTAGAACAGCGCCCCAGTCCCACCTGAAAAAACACCTTCTCAGAAGGTACACCTGGAGCCCTAGGGGTTGGTTTTGGGGTGTCATTCAATTCCTCCCCCATGCAAGGGTTTTGTAGGCGATCCACGGACAAACTGGACAGACCGGTGACCGGCTCCCAGCCATCACCTTCCATCACTTCCATCACCCAGCCTCGCCCTTGTCAGCTGCTGCAAAACAGCTGCCCATGGCCCATCCAATCCGGCATTGAACCCCGTGGTGGACCTCCACGTGACCCCGGTGTGCAGCGCGCTGCGCAGCGCGAGCGACCAGGGCGCAGCATGCGCGGCAGCGCCCAGAAGTGGCGCTGAACACTCCTCGGCTTGAAGAACTGTCCCCCGAAGAAACGCACCTCCTAACACACCACTGTCACCTCCAAGCACCCTCAAACCCTACTACACTGACTCTTCCAGTTTCCCCTGGAAAAGAGCGGACTCAAGATATTAAGCTGACTCTTAAGGTCTTAAGGACTCTGGATCAGCCGGGATCCGGAACTGCACAGTTGCACACCCAATCCCAGAGAAAAGGCTTTGAAGTTTATCCCCTTAAGGATATAGCTGGGCCGGTGGGTCAGAAAAAAACACCAAAGATCACCAAAGGGTCACTTCCAGCAACGCAGATCATAAGCAGTAGTCCTCCCACGAGATGCCACAGAGTCTCAGAAGCAGAACAAAAGGCACCTGTCCTACATGCTGGCACCCATCCCAATCCCAAACCGAACGCATTTTGCTCCAAACCTCCATATTCCCCACCCGTTGGAAAACACTACACCCAGCCTCACACCACTCACATACCTCACACCACCCACCATACCTCACAGTCGTTACTGGATTCTTCCCCCTTCTTCCTCACACCAGAGTCATCAGAGTCACCAGATCTTCCTGTTTTGTTCGGCCGGTCATTCCCAGACACTCCATGGGACTGGTATATCATTGACCCCGGAAAACAACCACAATGTATGTAAAATGATGTACATTTTATGCAATTCGTATATTATAGAGTGACCCCAGGCCCTCAACCACCCCAATGTATGGATGAAATCACCAGTCCCATGGGCCGCCGTGTGAGGGATAGGAACTTCTTCCCCCCCAACCCGATCCAAAGCTCCAAACCCAGATCTTCTGCTCTCTTCAGCACCTCCAGCGCCTTCGCCCAGTGCGCAGGGCGGCGCACTGAACCGCCCGCGCCCGGCGCGCCCAGGGCGCCCAGGGCGGCGCCGAAGTGCACCACGTTGCTGCCCGGCGAGGCCAAACAGCGGAGGGCTTCGGACCTAGGACTGGCCCGACGGACGGACTGGACGAGGCGGGGAGCGGAAAAAAAACCATGATGCATAAAGATTGATGCACTTTGCCCATCCTTTGTTAGAAGCTGTTCATGTGTTGGCAAACATGCCCTTTCGCAGTCCAAGAGGAGCCTCTCACTGCTCTCACCATCCATTCACCCTTACCCTCCCCCTTACCCTCAAGCGCTAAACGAACCTTAGAAAACAATTCCAGCGGTTCCGTGAAGTTATATGCTGAACTTGGAGAATGCACCTGTCACATCCACTCACTGGATGGGACGAAAACCAGGAACCAACCTGGGAACTGCTGGTTCCCTAACATAACACATACCTTCTCAGGTTCGGTACGACTGGACCTCCCCTACAGTGTCTTCTTCTCCGTCCTCACCGTAGAGGTTCAGTTTGGCCAAGGCGCCAGCATGCAGCCTTGGCATAAGCGTTCACGGTACAGCCGCGCGAGACCTCGGAGCCTGCGAGGCCTCGCTGCGTTTGGAGCTCCAAGAGGAGAAGGCCTTGGAGCCAGCGACAGGTGCTCCTGGCAGCAGCTCGACAGTTCGATCCTGTGGACTAAACGATCCTCGTCGCCGGAAATCCCTGGAAAATCAAGGTGAACCGAACGAACTTTCTACCTGTTCTTTGTGAAAGATGGGGTGCCACCACTCCCAACCAAAAGGGTTAAATGCATTTAAATGCTATCCACTGACTGGGTATGGTCCATTGAGATGTGGAAAAAATATACGATTCATCTTCAAAGGAGTGGTTGAGTTCCCAGAATCAGTAAGTGTGGCCATGGATTCACGAATAAAACACAACAGCCGGAGGCACTTCAGAGCCCGGCTCAAGAACTGCTTTCCGTCAAAAACATCGCCAAGCCCAGTCGTAGAGTTGCAAGAATTATGATGATGGACACCAACTTCAGTTCATGCAAAGGTGTAATTAGTTCGTCTTGGTTCCTATTCCTCCCAGGTTTTTAATGGTTTTTATGAGGATGGTGCTTCACATCAAAAAAGGAGCTTCGAATTCCAACTGCCTGGACCTTGTAGTTCGTGAGCTCCACGGGACTCGTTCGCTCCGCGGTGTCCCACTGAGCACATCAGCAAACCCACGACTTGTCATTGACCAGGGGCCACATGTCGGGGTGAATTTCGGTCCTGGTTCGGTCCCTAAGTTTATGGATTAATGGGTACCCCTAAGCTATATAGATTGCACCCCTGGGCGAACTCCTGGGATTGGCCATCTTTCATCGACCAAGAGTTCAAGTACCCTTTCAACCACCATCATGCGCAAAAAAACCGTCCTCAAGATGTTGAAGCTGCGCGTGTCTGCTTGCACTCGCCTGTGCACCAAGGCCGCTAGCAGCTGTCCACCCCAGCGCCACGCGGCACCCGCGGGTCCCGCAGGTCCGCGCGCGTCGTCGACGAAGCTGCTGAGCACGGCGTTGCCGTGGAGGACATCGATGGGCACGTGGAGCTGCTCCATCTGTAGAAGTATGGCCAGAGCATGGGGCCAACCTGCAAACCAATCGCGCAGCAGGTGGTTTGCAGAGTCTATCTTATTGTTTTTTCAGATCAATGCTGGAAGCTCTATAGGATCACCCTGAATATTTCAACGTACCGTCAAGTAGAGGACATGATTCAGCCAGGTTATCGCTTTTGAGGGGGGGCCTATCGCTCTTGCAGGGTGCGAACGCCCAAATTCCTGAAACTCACGACCGCGCAGCCACTCTTTAACTGAATGAGTCATCTCACGTTTTGCCGGTAGCTCACTCGACAAACCTGAACTAACCCAGTGGATCCCAGTTACCATATAAGGAACCAGGGATTCGTTCGGTCTATGATCTTAGTGTTTGGAACCACTGGTAACTGCATGTGAACTTGAGTTTATATAACGCATGGAGTATTGTTTGTTGCATGGAGTTTATATAACGCATGGAATCTTTTGCATGGAGTTTCATCGATGTACCATGCTGGATTCCCGCATGCATTTCAAGTAAAAAACGGAGCAGAAACATGCATTCAACTCAAGAAACACCAGATCTGGTTCCGTACCCAAATTCGGACATTCGGGAAATCCTGGCTCCATTCATCAATTCGGGAAATCCGGGCCTCATTCGGCAAAAATCGCCGAATGCAAAAAAAAATCATCAGATCGCAGAAAAAGAATATATTTGGGTTGCGCGAAGAAATTTCAACTTATTCGGTGCCCTAGGTAGTGGTAAATGGATGGTCTGGGTAAGATATCCAAGACGTTGGTTGGATCCGAAAAGGGCTCGAACAAGGAGCAGGCCTGGCTATGCCTGGTTGCCTGGACCCTCCCAGCACTCATAGACTGACACGGGGCCCCAAATACGTATATATAAAGTTTTTGTGCAATATCAAGTACCCGTGAGGCCGTGAGGAGCGTCAGGGAGCGATGCCCTGAGAATCCGGGCCCGAAGCAACAGATAGGGTTTGGTGAAGGGGCCCGGACCCCCTGCGTTTCGGTGGAGAAGGTCCGACCCCTGCCATGGAGAGCCCGTTCGGATTCTTAGGGTGAATGTTGGATAGTCCAGGCTCAGTCCAGGTCTCTGAATGAATTCTCTACCGAAGACGGTTGCCACAAAAAGATAGACCCCCGTCCTCCGGGCCTGGCCCCACCCCGTCCGCCTCGTTCTTTGCGGGCCAAAGCAATGGCCTGCCCAAAGCGACGGCCTGGCGTGGGCAGACTGCCCCAACGCCTGGGAACTAATTCTGAGAGGCTTGGTGGACACAAAATCTACATGGAGACCATGAGAAACTGTTGTGGGACATCGATACTAACTAGACTGGCCGGTACCGATATGAAGCGAGTGAAGCTCAAGAGATCGCCGACTCAGCAGGCACTGGATTTCCTTTTCTTGGATTTGCCGCTCCCAGGAAACAGAAAAAAAACAACATATTCCCCAGGTACGGGGATTTACCCATAGGGAAACTAAATCACCTTAAGCAAACCCAGGTTTTGGTTCTGTCAGATGGGCAGTTCTCAAGATTTTGTCTATCTGCGATCACCTCCAACAGCCCTCCTCTTCAGGTGATCGTTGGACCCAAAAAACTTATCTACTGGTGAGTAGATCCGAGTCCTGTTTTTTGCACATGCCGCCAGAAGTAGGACAGTGTTAAACAAAGGTTGATTGCAACACATGATGCAATGGAAGCTGAGTCTGCTTCAAGCAACAACAGGAGTGTTTTACGACACACACCTAAATTGTACTGTAAACATGAGACTACAAACAATGTCCAAAAAAGTGACAAACGTTGCTGGAAGGTGTTGGGTCATGTCAATGTTTCCGCACATGATTCATGAACCCTTCTTTGCAGGCATGTCTTGCCCATGATTTGATGTGCTTTGAATCCTGCAGTGCTTGATGTAATTATATATAACTTTGATCTATCCTATTAGCAGTAACAGTGGATGATGATGGCTAGGTTGCAGGGGTTAGAAGTTGAATCCTAGAGAACACCTCTTACAAAGACATGACATAAATAAGAAGTATCTTCCCGGTCTAAGACTCCAAGACTCCCACCCCGTGGTCCTCCCAATCAATGAATTGTTTTTTTCGGGAACATCTGAACCCTTAACCCTTGTCTTCACCCCCCAATGAAAACCAGGGCTTTCCTGTAGATGTTTCCCTTAGACCAATTCTGTGACCCAATCGGACCACGTCTCGTCCAAAGCGATTCCCCGGTGGCCGTCGCCCCAGTCGCCTGTCTCCATGTCTCCACGCCATGGAGACAGGCCTTCCTCCACTGAGGACGCCCACGAAACAGAGTTGGGCGGTGGATGTCCCAGGCGCGTGGCTGCAACTGGGAGCTCTGAGAGGGCGATGAACTCTGGTTGGAGTGTCTAGGCACAACAAAGACAAACTATATCATTTGCATGGATGAGGTCCCATACCACCTACAGTAAGCCTACGAAGCGTCGGAAAATTGTCTCTTAATGCCATGGTAAAAATGTAGAAACTTCAGGAGGGCATCATGAATGTGTTTGCATTGGAAATTGATCTGATATGGCTTCTGTGGAAGGTGTATGGTCCATGCTGACAGTGATCTTGCGCAGCAAGAAGGATGTATATATATATATATACACACTGATGTGCATACACATAACTTACTGTCTCCAGGACAAGCTCTGCCATTGGCGCTTGAAACATACCGGCAAAGATTGCTGCAAGTACCAGCAAGCTCTTTTCCCGCAGATTTCCCAAGCACAAAGCATACCTGCTAAATGCATTCAGCTTGTATTGGACCAAAAAACTTGTAAAGGCATCTTCCTCGGTGGCCTCCACGGATCTTTTTCAACATTCAGGTGCTGGTCAAAGTCTGTGCAGTTTGCTCAAGAGTATCATCAGTTCCGTATTACAACACGATAGAAGAACTGCAGTAAACAAATCAAGCGCGTTGATTCACCCCTCAAGTTGTCTATACAGAACGGAACAAGCTGACTTTAAGCACTTCTATTCTCAAATGATCTCAAATGTGCTTATCTATCTATCCAAGTCAAAATCACTGGTGTAGGCTGTACTGGTTGGAAAATGAATCCTGGTCAAAATTATGTGACACATCCTCACCAACCTGAAGCCTGCTAAGAATGAAAGTAAATTTCTTTGTTAGTACTGTAGATACTACCAGCGGCCCATATTTTTTCGACGCTTGGGTCGGACAGCTTTGCCTTTCAGCCTGGGCAGCTGTGAGTGGTTGGGCTGGGGCCTGCTTCGTCCCTCCATGTGCATGCCTCCTTTTAGCCATATACTGACACTGCAAATGACTGAAGCCAAAACATGCAATGCTGCTAGACAACCTTTCACATAGCTCTTGACAATGCAATTCCCGTAGATGGCTGAAGCTCAAGAATGTCAAACAAGCTTGGAAGATACTACGTGGATGGTAGATTCTTCGCACTCAGATCCATGCACGCATGAAACCGCACACGAAATGAGAAGTCATGATAAGTCTCTTGTTTGATTTATCTCGTTTTGTTTGCATCTTCAGGCAAAGTTTCTTCAGAAACTTTCTTTGATGAACTCCACCCCGCAAGACAGGAATACAGTCAGGAATAAGGACAACTCACAGGAAAGCATGGTGGCCTTCTCCTCGAAACTGATTTCGGAAAATCACACACTATAGCGTAAGATAGTGTAAGCCAAGTTTGCTCACGTCAAACATGAGATTTATCATGAACAACCGTCAAGATATATCAACGATATCAAGTGATTGGCACCCCTTTGCTTAAGTGCTGGTGCAACGCTCTCATGAAGGCCCAACCTGTAGGCATGGGCATCCTGAGGCCAGAACTGGGCATGACACCAGTGGCTTGACACCAGTCAGTGTGTAGTACACGGCAGACCTCAGTGATAAATTGGTTCATTCAAACACACTTTGCCAATTCAAACAACAGAACAAGTGTTGTGCTCCAATTGAATGTCAACAGAGTGAAGTCACAAAGGAAGCGAGAAAGCCCAGCATTTCTCCAGTCTCTGGTTGCCTTCATTTTGAATTGTTGTTAAGGAATGCACTCAGTGCAAAGTGCCCGATCCTCACAAATCAAGAGAGTCTATCTTGAAAGTCTCAGGTCCTGCAGCGAATTCTGTTCTAGAAACGGTGAGCATGCTCAGTCAGCTCATCATGAAGAACTTGCAGACTCAGAATCTTCAGCGGGAACAAGATCGTAGGAGCGGCCACAGGTGTCCAGGCACTCTCCACAAAACTCTCTTTCAGCTTCAGACTGAACATCATTGAAGCAGGGAAGGAACCTACCGACAGGTTGTGTCTTCTTAATCTTCCGGGAAATTCTGCTGGGATGGTTCATTGCCCAACAGGCCCTGATAGCAAAGACGATATTGCACAGCCCAAAGCAGCCGAACAAGATCGATCCGGCCAGCAGCATCTCTTGATCATGCTGGGAATGGCATAAAGCTGCCACACAGTTCTCCAGAACCACCAGGAAAAGGAAAATGAAGCACATCGTGACGTAGTGATCTAGCCAAGTGCTGTAGCCGATCGGAGGTACCATCTGTGCCACTACATATTTATAAGCAACTGCTGCGAGCACCAGCGTCAGGGAAGCTGACAAACGATCCGAGAGTTTCTCAGGGGGGATGACGATTGAAGAGGCGCTCATACAAACAATCAAAAAGAGTGGAAACACAATGTTGGACACATAATGCCATGGTGTCCGCCCCATTTGCACAGTGACGTTCAATGTGTGACGCAGAACTCCATCCTGCACATAGGACTGCTCTGTGTCTTCTTCCCACACATGCAGCCGATCATCTTCATCTTTTGGACTTTTCCACGAGTTTTGAAGGATGGTGAAGGCTTTGGGCCGGATGACCTTTCCATTTTTGCCACAGGCAAAACGCATCTTCATGCTGCCATCCTTGTAGGGATACCGGATCATCATTGACACGGTAAAGTCTTGGCTATCGAAGGGGAAGTTCTTGAGTTCCCACGCCTCTCCGAATTTGCCTAAAAATCTCCATGACAAACGAAAGGAATCGTCGCTCTCCTTGTAGGACACGGCTGGGTGTGTAAGTGATGCATCTTCGATGTCCACCATGTTTTGGCTGGCGATCCAGCGGTCACCACGACCACCGTCTGCTTTTTTTTGGAAAGGTTCCAAGAGCTCTTTGATCTGCTTGCACCTTCCACATTTGAAACTCTGGCACTTCGTTGGGCACTTTGGTGTCGTGAGTGAAATCCAAAGGTCTGCTCCAAACTGTTGATTTGCTAGGTCAAGGGACATAATCGAATCAAATGCCACACGAACGTCCATGACAACATCATTGGTGTCAGGCTCCATGTGGGTCCCCATCGCTCAATTTGATATCTCAGAAACTACAACATGTTCCAATCACTCGAGCCAAGCAGGCATTAGCATCTTGACGAGCAGCAACCAATGATTATGTCCAAACTTCAAAGTGACCCACTTGAGGGTCCCTAAGCTCTGCAAGAGACCTGAAATGAAAAGCCTGGTATTCAGTTTTTACAGGTCTTGCTTCCGGTGCAGCTGCTTGTTTTTTGAGATGTTTTCAAGCGTTGTTGGTTCTGCTGTCCTAGACCCAGTGCAATGCACGGCTCGGCCAGAACGAATAAGGCGAACTGAAGAACGAGAGCAGTCCAACTGGCCAAAGTAATGCACGTGAACACTATGAACACTGTTGATTGAACCACCTGCACGTGAATCACCGGCTCAAACAGTCCCGCGTGACATTTTCCAATGATCAAATCCCCGTGGCCTCTCCTCCAACAAACTACTCAACAAACCACTAGACTTCCAAGCATCACTGAGGATGAAAGGCTGAAACTACCTGCCGGTCTTCGATCAGTACGTTGAGGAGTCATGTTAAAAGCATCGTTCGTATACATGAAGCATGTGGTCTTGCTGTTTACTGAACTCTTAAATACGAGCTTCGATGTAAAAATAACATGACAATGATTATGTCTTTAGAATGCCCTAGAACCCTCAATCTTCGCCTGCTTCCGTGTAGCAAGGACAATGGGCACAGCAAGATAACCTGACGGCCGCGAAAACGAACTTGTGAACCATGGAGATCGGCGCGCTGAAACACTTGTTGAGACAATCCAACAGCATGAGAGCAGCCTCAAATGGAAGGAAGCCTCTCTGCATCCAAACCATGGCAAGGAAGGTCGCTGGAGATTGAGGTGAAATCGGCACCTTATTCTCAACCTGTCTCTCTCCATGTGTATTACAATGTAATCGTAGCCTGTCCTAGCGGGAGTTGGGCTGGTTTTGGCAATACTTCCACGTTCAGTCCGTTCGATTTTCGCTGCCGGGGCATCTGGCAATAGTAAGGGGTTCATACCATGTCGATGCTCCTTCTTGCTTTTAGGTTCTCCTCTTCATGCTGGCACCACACTTGTTGCAATATCTCCACCTAGCTAAAACAAACAAAGTTGACTTACATGCCTGTAAAGGTGTGATTGTGTGGCAAGCACCACGGTATTCTGTCACATTCCAGGTCTTGAACGTACTATGCACAATATTCAACTTTTGCAAACTTAAGATGCGAATGTTTACCACACTGCAAAGGCAACTAGCTTTGTTTGACACGCAAAAATGTATAGACATGCAGCATGCACCTTCAAAGAACAGTGCGAACAATCAAAGCAGTGCCAGTCTACAGCTCAAAAGGACATGTACGATTGAGATTAAACACATCAAGGACTGACAGTGTGTCTCTCTGGTGCACCTGGACACGCGTCTATTTGTTGATCATGGCACATATCAATTGAAGAACTCCTTTCGTGCGCACAAACGACAAATCACAAGGCATTGGCTTGCGATTGCCGCACTGGTTCTCAATAGCTGCATTTCCAGCAGCAGAACTGCACCTTATCATATCCGCTGAAGAGGCAAAACTGCCGGGAAGGAGCCTGAACCGAATCGAACAGCCTTTGAAGGATCTTACAAGGATCTTAACTTGAAGGTGTGTCTCCAACGAAATCCTTACGAAACCGTGTGCCGTGTGCCTCCATCGTGCTGAAAAACAAACTGCTAAAAATGATTAAAGTAATTACAATGAGCTGACAGTCCTTAGCCCCGCAAAAATGGTCACACACGTCTTCAATGAACACGTGTGAGCGCAACATGCTCTTTGAAGGGAAGCAACGCTAAGCTAAACAAACAAAATGATGTCAACATATCCCACATGAGCATGATAAAACCGTTTCCCAACGATCGCTTTGGAGGTGTCATTGTGGATTTGCCATCTGCTGTTATTGTTGTTTTTTAGCGAAATGTGGTTTGCTGTTGTTATTGCCATGGCGGTTCCTCATAGATCTTTGCGGTAAGCCTACATCATTTGTTGATGTTGCATATAAATATATGACTTGGAAAACTGTTACTTGCTGTGGCTGACCATTGTTGTCGTCGTCTTTGTTGTTGTTTCTACATTGTCGTCATTGGTGTTCAAACAATTGCAGTTGTTTTGTCGTGAAAATGGGCGTTGGTTGGTCGTTGCTGCCACAAAATTGTTTTTGATGCTGTCGTTTGGCTCTCCATTGGTCGCCATTGGTCGGTGCCATTGGTCGGTTTGTCTTCATTTAATGTTTCTGTTGACTTTGCAACTTTATAGTACATTGCTAATGACCGTGGTTTGTGGTTGCGATTCCAAAGTGCTTGCATGGCTCTCAGTTCTGGTCACTGTGGGCCGGGCCACCCGCGAAATGTCAAAAACGAACCGTGGGAGCTGATCACTGGAAGGACGCTGGATGGAAAAGCACCGCCTTGCAAGGACAATGGTAAAACATGTTGTTTTGCGATACCTGCACATACCTCAATCTGATGTTGAGCAGCGGGTTCATATCTTGAGAGCATGTTGAATGCACCTGGCTCTGGCAGCTTCTGCATTCAGCTTGGATTGCAGGCACACGTGTTGAAACATGTACATTGTACATGTCCACGTGATGTCCGTGTGATAGCACGTGATGGTCGAGCTTGTCACAAGCCAGTTGAGGCAATCCTTCATTGTGCCAAGGAAAAATCACAAGGCGTTGATTACCTTGCGATATCCGCAATCGCTATCAATATAGATATTCACGTTTCAGGCGAAACAACGCGCCTGCATCCCGCCGAACAACAAATTGCCGATGTTCAAATCACAACCAATGGCACCCCGAAAAGGCCACACACTTGGTTTGATGAATGAATTGAAATGAATTGAGCCATTTCTGAAAACACGACAATCGCTTTCAAAACACATCCAAGTGCATTGTCGAGTGCCCCTCCCAATGGCAAGTTCTATGTTCAGACCGTGCTTACAAGTTCCACCCACAAAAAAAAAACAACTTGCGCCATGCGTTCACGCAGGAGAAGAGAATCTGAAGGCGTTCACTTGCAGTTGCCCCTTTGCGTTGCCTGAATAAGTGTCACGTCTTGGCCGTGGAGGGCGTTTGCATCAAATGGGATACGGGCTGCAAAGGTGTCTCCACTTTTTTTTTTGCAAAGCCCTCCAGTCACGGCCTCGCAACTACAAGCTGCCAATCCCCTTTCTGGAAAATCACACAAATGCTCGTCTGAACAACAAAACAAATGTGGCAAAACCTTTGTAGGCAATCAACGAAAAACATGACTATATCATCGGCGGAAATTGAATGCATCTCTTCTAACTGCCCTTCTTTGGGGGAAACGGCTTCGCTTGACCAAGCACTAACAATTATGTATATACATCTGTAGCCGGCAAATACTTGGCCGGTGGCTGGTAGCAGGTCGCTGGTCACCACCGATGTGTGAAGCATGCCTATTGTGAGCCATCCGATGGTAAAATTTACAGGAGGAAGGGGCCGTTGCAATGAAACCCTTTTGAGCCACCCGAGGGAAGAATATATAGAGGACGAAAGAACCAGTCCGAGGAAGCATACCTGGTCAACCGAAGAAGCCATTCCAAGGAAGCCCTTTCGCGAGCTAGCCACCTGTAGAATTTAGAAGAGAAAGGAGGTGGTCTGGAGAAGAATCCCTGTTCTGAGCCTATTGCTCAACAAACATCAACAAACTATGTGGTTTTCCAATAAACACTCAAACCGATGAACCAGATTTGATCAATTGCTATTACAGCAAATTCCGAATAACTAAATGGTTCCATGTATATTATATAAACATCACCAAAACTTCTACCAAAAATATTGTTGTTTATTGTTATGGCATCACCTTCAAATTAGTGTAATAGTAATAACTTAGTAATAACCTATTAGTAGGGCATACAACTAATACTGTGTAGCCATTATCAACCATTTTCTGGCAGATATGACTTTTGTTTGTTCCTGCAAATAATATCCTAATCATTACATGGTTCACTTTCTCAATGTTACTAACAATATCATCAGTATCATTGATTTCTGATATTTTTGGACAATCTCTTCGACCTGACTTTGTGAACATATCATGTCTTACTTCTACTATTCATTTAGTGTATCTGGCACTGGCAGCTTCGGTACTCATTTTAATTGGGGGCATACATGTTTTAAACATGCCCATGCCCGCGTGCAAATGTCAGCTGAGCTCGGCAAGGACTCTTTGCATCTCTCTTTCACTTGCAATTGCTGCACGGGCCCTCGGTAGATTTCCAAGGGTGTGCCTCATGAACCGGGACGGGGATAGAGCCTGACTATATATAAGTCTCGTTACATATGCGTCTCGCAGGGGTTAGAACCAAATGAAATGGCCGCTTGCAAAGGTGTGTACTGAACTTAATGCAAAGCCGTGCATCTGCAGCGAGTTTAAAACAAGCTGACAACGCTCAACTCCCAGTCCATTTACACCACTGCACAGAGACACTGCCCCTTGATAAACATGATTACATTCTATTGCAAATGCTTTGTGGATGAGTCGAACTCCAAGATAGTATTATTTGTGTATATATTGTATAGTCCTCCTTGCCAAACTGCGACTGCCCTCCAACGAGTTTGAAGCCGTGCACCTGCAGCCTGCCCAACAACAAACTGCCGATGCCAGCCCCAGCTCACATTAATGCACACTCCTTTGCACTGAAGACAAGCAGCACAGCATGAGCCCTTTTTGAATGACAACAAGTTGCTTAACTGATTTTGGTGAAAAGAACGATCAAACGGTAAATGCATGTAAATGCTAAACACATATATTTTTGGGCAGGTCAGCCGTCTTCCTATGACATGGTTGCTGCAAAACAGCAAATAGTTTGTCGCTGTCACAGTTGCAGTCCTGATTGTTGCTCGTTGCCGAAGGATCCTCCTTGACAGTGTGACCATTGTGACCAGTCATTCAAACCATCACATTGCTGGACAAAGGATTAAACACAATCTGATATTCAAACGAGGTGCATCTGGCTCTGCTTGGCTCTTCAGACCTGGATTGCTTGCTCAATGACCAAAACACTTGCAACATCTGTCACATGTTGATCACCGCCAACCAACCTGTACTGTTCACCCTGCAAGGAAAGCACCGTTGGTTCCAACAAATTCCTGCCTCGGGGACTTTCTTCTGCTTCAAAATGGATTTGTTGCTTCTTCTTCCTCTCCTCAAAGACATCCTTCAACTCTGACAAGCTGTCAAACGATCAATGCATTTGCAAGATCCTTTGTAATAAGATCCGTTTGCAAGAGCTCAACAGGTGAACTGATGTCTTTTTTGCCAGGTGTCCTCTTCACTATGCCATGACAGTTTGACAATGCCAATGATGCTGCGATGCTACAAAACGTCCCGGTCAGGAGAAACACAACGACTGCTGTCCTTGTTGCAGTCCTGTTGGTTGCTTATTGCTGAAGGATCCTCCTGACAGCGTGGC